GAGAGAGAGAGAGAGAGAGAGAGAGAGAGAGAGAGAGAGAGAGAGAGAGAGAGAGAGAGAGAGAGAGAGAGAGATGCCGCACTTGCTTCACGTGTAATTACTTGTGTTTCCATCCCTCGTCTCTGAGGCCTCGTTATTGGTTGAGACAACTGTATGTGTTGCCGTGTCTCGTTCGGATTCTCGACTTTCTGCCCCCGCTTGATCTCTTATTTCCCTACGTCCTCGTTCTCTCGTTCCGCATATCCACTATGTTGCCGCTGCTTAACCTCATATCCACTACGCTCTACTCTGGTCCTGCCCTCTTGCATCCCCTACATTCTCCTGGCTGCGTTCCCGCGCCTTGCGCGGTCCACAGTATAGTTCACGCTGTCTTTGAAGTGATGCAAACGAGTTCCTGGACCGGGGGAAGTTGATAGGCTCGTTGAAGTCTTTTCTTTGTTTGACAGCCTTGCCTCATTAAGACGACTGTCTTACCCATAACAAAACATTTTGGTCGCCCCTGTACGGTTTGTGGACGCAAGGTGATGATCGGGCTCATTTGCCGTAGCTGCTTAACGATGTGATTGAGAAGCTGTGCAAACATGGGATTTTGAGCGACGGGATAGAGCGTAATGGGTGGCTGGGTTTCATCTCGGACCCATGCTCCATGCAAACGCAGCGTCTGGAAAATTCGTGATGAAGCCATCCAATTACGCGTTATCCCGTCCGGATGCGGCAGTAGTTGGTTTTGGTTCGTGTATATTGGGTAGCCAGCAGAGATGGTCTTTTATAAATGGTTTGTGGTCGGCTGGAGAAGAGGTGAGGAAAGGGTGTGCTGGAGGCGAGGTCCTACTTGACTGAGCTGTTCAATTTGAATGAGGTTTGACTGACTTATGTTCGTTTCCACGCTGTGATTATTCTTTTTATCGCATGTTGGAGTGAGAACTGGAATTGTTTTCTTCGGTGTGCTCGTCTCCATTCTTCGATTGTTTGGATTGGAAATGGGAACTTGGAACGAGTTGATTCGATCCCCTAATGTATGGTGTCTGGTTTTCTGTGCGCGGTGACGATTGCCTGCAGACTACGGGGACACGGAACCTTGGGAGTGCCGTCACTGAGGTTCACCCTGTACAGGTCGTCTTTCTCATCGTGGCGGCTGCTCGGTTGCTTGCTGCTCTCTCCAGATTAATTTCCAAGTAAGGTCATGATTCGACACGAGATGATTTAAGTTCCAATCTTCAACGAAGGCCACATCTCCGCTAATCAAGTCTACTTGGTCGAGAATTTTCAGCGGCAGCGAGTGACCATTTGTACGGTAGCACAACGACTCAGCGGTACTTATTCCTTTCGGATTATCGTGCCCAGCGGACCCTGCCGAGTTGTCTGCGGTGTTCTCTCATTGTTGGTAATTGTTCGGTGACGTCAGCAGTCTTATCATCGGCGGCCCCTTAGGCGCGCTTCGGTCTATTCTCAGACTTCTCATCAAATCCCCTTTGGTCAGCCCGACCCAGTTTATGAGGTAAGAATCCTGTTTGCCCCCCTTCCCTATGTACATCCTTCCGAAGTGAGCGATTTATCTTTCTGCCGTCGTCTGAACACAAGTTCTCGACTTCTCGCCGTTGTCCTCTGTACACATGTGATCCCCCTCGTATTCTCTTTGTACTCATCATTCGCCCCTCTGTTGTCTTCTTTGTCCGATGTCCGCGATGTCCTCTCTCGTCTCGTCTGTTTTCACGTAGACCACCTCTCTCGCTGTTTCTGGTTTTCTGTGTCTTTCTCCCTCTAGCTATGTTTACTTCTTTTCTCGTCTCCCTTTCATTCCCTCGTCTTCACCTTCTTTCTGTGGGTGTTCTCTTCCAAACCATCAGCCTCTGACGGTACCCCATCCTACAACATGTTTTTTTTGAAACCCCAATTTGTACGCCAAACGCCATTCAGCTGCTGCGCAGCTTTGTATCTCTACAGTGCCTTTCCGTGTATTGTCCCCTTCGTCTCCCTCTCCCAAAACGACGTTGGTTCCTCGCCTTTCGTACCGTCTTGTGTGGACCTGACTTCCCTGTCACTGTGTCCACTGCTACCTGTTAGTTAACTCTCGTACCTTCCTCCGTTTACTCGTTTCCATCTGAAATCCCGAGTGTCTCTGTGCTCGCCTGGCCCTTCTACCTCTTTCTGTGGTGTCGTCCGTTGGCTGTTGTTTTTGGCGTCTCCCTCGCTTTCGCCTGATGCACTTCCCTCTTTCATCCCGTTGCATTACTTTCTTACCCCTCCTACTTGGCCCGTGTCCCCGTCTGTCCTTCCTGCGTCTGCTTTTATCTGAAACATCCCGTCTAGATTTCGTCTGCCGAGTTACGATGATTAGCCTCGGGTGGTGATTATGAGTTCTGTTGACCCCTGGCTTTGCCGCGCACTCCGTCCGCCGCGCCGCCTCCTTTGATAGGAGCTCCCCTCCAGCACACCAGCATGTGCTCTACGCTTCTATTGCTCTTAAGCACGCCTTTCCCCGCAGTGTCGCCATCTTGCCACTCTTGTCTGGTAGGATGTCTCGTCGTCCGTCCCGTCTATGGTCCGCTGCCATCTGTCATCGCATCACCACTACCCATTCAGATTAGCAATTTCGCATACGACCCTCCTTTCTCACACTCGCCCGCTGCTTTTTCCCGCCTTCATCGTTCTTTCTGCCGCTCGACTGCTGGCTTTGCGTAGGCGCTGCTCTCTTCGCGCAGCTGTGCTGGAAAATATGCTCTCTGCATTCACGCGCCGCAGCTGTGCTGTGCCCGACCGCTGACGAGTCTCATGTACGCCGCTGCGTTGTCCTGGTCCTCCTGTCTCCACTCCACCGCTGTTCTGTCCACTCTACCCCTCCGATATTCCTTATCCGGTACTGAATTGTTTTCTGCTGCCTTATCAGCGATTCCCTTTCCTTGAGCTGCTGACCCACTCTCACTGCCGTCTCCGCGTCACCTCCTATGCTGGTACATTCGCGCGCTCGCTTCAGCTTCTCCGCTGGCCGCCACCTGGCCCCTCATTTCTTGCAGATTGCCTTCTTCAGCTGCTGTTACGTGGCTCCCGATTGTTGCGCGGGCCCTACAGGATGTCTTCCACTGACTCGTGGACCACGTCTCTCGTCGGCGATGCCTGCATTTTTTCGATGATGTACTTGCCTCTATCTGCCTCCTGCGTTTTATCCGCACGCTCATAATCTGCGCTGCTCAGACGCTGCGTTCGGTCTGCCTTCCCTCGTTACGACTGATCCGAATCAGCCACTGCAACACTGTGGTTGTCCCTGCGCTTCCTGTCTCATCTCCTCAACTCCGAACCCCCTCGTGAGTGCCGTTTGCTCCTTTAACTTTCCCAAGGGGTGACTGGTTGTCTGCTTTACTAGTTTTCTCTCCCTGTTTAAGCATGCGCCAGTTCCCTCGCCTCAGTCCCTGTCCACAGTGCAGTGGCCAACGTTCTTTCACTCGACTGGATTTTAAGTCCCTGTTGGCTCTCTCCTATGGTGCCTCGTGTCGCGGGGTTCTCATTCCTGTGCTGGACTGCCTGTTGGAGCTCTTCGGCCTCCTCTGCGTGGTTCCTCCCTGTGTTGTTTCTCTGCTGGCTGTGACCATCCTCCACTGCCTGACTTTGTGTCTTACTGCTCCGGTGTCCGGTTTTTCTACCTGGATTCGTCCTTTTCTTGCTGGCACGTGTCGGTATACATCCCTTAGATACACGCGTTCTCGACTCTTTCTCGTCGTGTGGATCTCTGTGGACTGACGTTTCCTAAATTAAAAAGTAATGTTTTGGGTCTGGTTTGGATGATTTCCGATTTGATTCCTATTTAGCATATCTATTGGCATTCAAGTCTCCTTCCTTGATACTGCGTTTGGTGTTAACGCTTTCACACTGCTCGATGTGTTCAATGGCGACGGTGTATCTACATGATGTGGGTGTTATTGCCCCATCCAGATGTTGGATGCCTGAGTGACGTGAAATTGGTGTTCTTAGAGTTTCCCCTGCGCAATAAGGAAATGCAAATCAAGGAATTGTAATTGAAGTTGCACAGGGTGCTCGACTCGTTTGAGTTCAGCTTGCTGCTCCAAGGAGTTTGTGGAAAGGTCGAGGAGAAATGACCAGGTTCGTAGTCTGACCGTTCGTGTGCGGTGTGCGTGTTTCCATGTCTTTCTTGAATTGGCGGTTACGTTGGTGTTCCTATCGGTGCACAATCTCGCGACAGCTCGAAGGAGAAGCCGACTCTCGGGTACGATTGCCTTTGTCTTTCCTCCCGTCTTGAAAATGGCACTTTTGAATTATGCACGGGGAGGACGAATCGTATAGTATAGAGTATTGCGGTGTGTATTTTATGTGGCGGTTTTGTATTTCGTAAATCATGTGTTTACGAGGAAACGGGCTTGTTTACAGGATTTAGGTGCTTGGTTCTCTGCGCGGGTGATTGGTTCTCATTAACATCGTATGCCGATGATTGAATGAATTGTTTCCATGAGCATGTGTCGTTGACGGCGATGAGGAGTGGAGGATTGGCGATGACCGGATCATAGACCGTAGCGGTGAATAATAACGGTAATGACGATGGGACGATGGATGGAGATGGAACGACACTTCACGAACCTGTTGATTTGCGGAGATGATTATTCGCAGTGATAGCTTGCGTTCGTGCGAGCATTGTCGTGGGGACTTGCACACGGTTTGTTTGTCTGACGCATGAATTTGTGGTGCTCGCTCATTGTCTGGGTCCGCAGTTGTGTGTGGATGAGCATAGTAACTGTTTTAGGATTACAGGTGTCGTGAACTTCGCGACTGATGGGTCGTCGGACGACTTGCTGATGACGTCCTCAAATCGAGGGATGGAATAGGAGGAAGGGAGAGAGAGAGAGAGAGAGAGAATGATGTTGCTGAGTGGTGGCTTGTTATATTGAAGGAGAGCATGCCAAAAGCTGCGAAATATTGGCCGTCGATTATATTTTGCGACATACACCAGGCTGTGCATGTGGACTATACGGCTCGCTCGCGTTTGATTTGATTACTAGAAAGGGAATGGAATACATGATTGATCATGCCGTAGTGTGCCTCGTTGTTATCGGAAAGAGCAAACGGAATATGATCAACCATATGGTGTTCCAACATGCTCTTCATTGCGCACCTTGTTATCAGGAAGATTACACCTGCAGTAGTATCGCCTAATTGTTGTTGCGGCGATACAAGTAGTCTCACAAGTCTGGATTGTCCTGAGTTATGACGTATGTGCTTGGATGCGGCGTTGTTTAGTCTCTTATTTGATCATTCCGTCAAAGAATTGTCTTGTCCATTCCAAAGCACGGAGATTCTGTCCTGCACTGGATAGTATGTTTAACACATGATGGTGTGGCGCATGTCTTCATTTCTTTGAGCGAGTGATTTAGTGCTGAGTTTTTCAGGAGTTGTTTTGACGGGGTAGAGCATCATGGGCAGGTTTCATCTCGAAGATGTCGTCTCGGATGTTTTTTATTTTTGGACAGGAATACGTTCCAGCGACTCCTTTATGGGCGACTGGATCAGGGGGGGGAAAGGAAGTGGCCTCCGAGTGAGCCGTTGAGTTTGAATGAGAGTTGACTTTTGTTGGTTTGCCTCGTTCGTTGTTTTGTGTGCGGTTCGTGTTGTGGCTTTTAATCGTCGCGTGTTTGGAATCCAACCGGGGAACTGTCTTCTCTGCACCGGGCTTCTGCATTCGTCGGCGTTCGTTTTGCATCGCAATTGGTCCAATCGGGACCTGGGAACCAATTGTCTCGCCTTCTGTATCGTGTCCTTGGTTGCGTTGGTTTGCCCGGCTGTAATTGTCTTTCTGACACTGCACGGGGCACACGGTATGAGCAGCGGCACGCGGATCAAGACCCGCAAACGGAACATCGCTGTTCCGTTGGATCCATCTGGATTCGCGGATAATGTTGTTAATGTCTGCCTTAAATACCAGGGGGATTTGGTGAGTGGTCGTGAAACCGTTTTCCGTTTCTTTTTCCACTCCCCTATCTCCTTTGGGTTAGAAAGGGGACCTTATATGTATTGTGGTTAATGCCTGTCTTAAATAGCAGGGGGATTTGACGAGTGGTCGTGAAACGTTCTTCCCCATCTGTGTGTTTCACTTCCCCTATCTTCTTTGCTTATAAAGCTCTGCCGTTTTATGTACTGTGGTTTTTGCCTGTCTCGAATAGCAGGGTGGGATCTGTGAGTGGTCGTGAAACCCTATTCTCCGCTTCTTTTACCCCCGTCCTCTTTCGATATACGATTGTGCCTTCGTGTCCAGTGGTTGTTGTGCCTAAGATACCAGGGGGATTTGTTGAGCGGGCGTGAAACTCTCTTCCCCGATCCTTTTCCGACTCTCCCAATCTTCTTTCCACCAGAAGCGAGTGCCGTTTTATGACCTATGGTCAGTTCGTGATGAAGTAAGATGACGTAATGTGGGAGTATAATTTGACGCGAGTTGGGAAAAGAACTCGGGTATGGAGGCACAGTAATTAATAGCCAATTATGGCCTGCTGTGCCTTGATTACCCTCGAGCTCTGCACCGAAGCTCGGTAATGGTGGTCCCAGTATTCCGGGTTGTTTGTGGAGGGATTCTCGGCCTCCTTGCTGTTTTCTACAATAAATGAGAGCTTTTGAGTAGAAGGAAAAACAGAAAAAGAACTCGGGTATGTCCTGTGGTCTGTTCCTGATGAAATATAATTTGATACGAGCGAGAAAAGGAAGTCGGGGATTTGGTGAGTGGTCGTGAAACGTTCGTTCTTCCCCTCCCTCTGTTCTCATATCTATAGTCTTCGTTCGATGGAAAAAGTTTGTTCTTTTATGTCATGTGGTCGGTGCGGTGACGAAATAGTCACAATTGTGCTTTTTCCTACAATAAATGAGAATGGTTCCTGAGATGAAAAGCAGAAAAACAATTCGGGTATATCCTGTGGTCTGATTGTTCTGAAATATAATTTGATACGTGCGGGAAAAGGAACTTGGGTCTGATTGTTCTGAAATATAATTTGATACGTGCGGGAAAAGGAACTTGGGGATTTGGTGAGTGGACGTGAAACCTTTTTCCCCTCCCTCTGTTCTCATATCCCTAGTCTTCTTTCGATGTAAAAGGTTTGCTTTTATGTCGTGTGGTGGGCTGCGTTGCTGAAATAGTCAGAATCTGGGAAATATGATTTGATGCCAGCGGGAAGAGGAACTAATAGGTTTGCGAGTTTGTCTTGATTGAATGCACACGTGGGACGTATGGAATGCGAGTAAGAAGATGTGGGAGGAGTGAGGCATGTGGTGGATGTTTGAGCATGATGTGCGTGATTTGGTGGAATGTCTACTGATTTTATTATTTTTAATTAATTTTTCAGTGTACTCTAGTGCGCTCTGCTCAAATCCTGTGTAGTGTACATGAAGAAAGATTGGTGGATGTTTGAGCATGATGTGCGTGGTTCGGTGGAATGTCTACTGATTTTATTATTATTAATTTTGCATTTTACTTTAGTGAGCTCTGCTCAAATGCTTTGTAGTGTACATGAAGAAAGATGCATAAGGCAAGTAAAATCTCCGTGGCAGTTGCTGAAACGTGCACGATTGTTGCGAGTTGGTGATAAAGCTGTATGCATGAATAGAAGAATCATCATGAAAGCTGCCAGAACTAAAAAAGCTATCATGTACTCTTTCTTGTAATTTTGAATACTAGACCAACCTACTAACATGCAAATAGGTATTAAGAACGTAGTCAACACCACAAAGAATAAAGAAATCCCATCTAGACCTATATAAAAATTGATATTTGAGTAAGGAAGCCATCGTRTTGTTTCAACAAATTGGAATTTAGCTGTAGAATTCTCAAATTGTATCCAAAACAACAGAGAGTATAAAAAAGGGATCAAAGAGGTGCAAAAGGCAATACTTCGTATCAACCGTATTTTCGAGTTAGGAACAAGTAAAACGATGGGGGCCCCTAAAAGAGGCCACTTGATAAGACCACTCAGATTGTCATTTTTGATGACCACGACCTTGGTAGTTGAACCTGACAGTCGGGGATTGCACTTGCTCTTTTTTTTAATTGCCACCACCACTTGCAGGATCTCATATCTAAAGAGATAGAAGTTGATGATGAGCTCGATTTTTCGCGCTATGGCGACACCCTGTTCGAGGTAAAATGACTAAGTCATTCCTTTATACGTGACAGGTCATACACCTGCGCACTGTTTGTTTCGTTATGCGATATGCATCCAGCTGGCTGGCTCGTGGTTGACCTTGTGGTCACTTTTCACGTTCTTGCTTGTCCCATCTGTTCTCTTTTTCTTTCTGCCTTTTCTAGCACAGTTCCTCCTCCCCGGTTGGTTCTATACGTCCCCTCTGCTAGCTCTGCGGCTCGCTTCTTCCCAATCTACCCCTCTTGCCGCTTTTGCAGTGTCCTTTATTTTGCCACCCACCTTCAGCCTCTCCATTGGTGTATTGCCATTTGCACTGGCTCTCTTCCATTCTTTTTCGTACCCGGATTTCTTCCCGTTTCTGAACTCCTCTCCTTTCTCTTTTGGCGTCTCTTTTTTTCACTCCTTCGCTCTCCGGAAGCTGCGTTATGATTGGGTTTTAGTGAGGGGCAGCTGATACTGGTGGTTGGGATGTACCTGCGTTATGCTTGGGTTGGCAGCCGCGGGCGAGGTAGTGGGTGGTGGCTGGGAGGTCGTTTCATTGCGGTGCTTGTCTTGTTTTTATCTAGCATTTCAAATATGGAGCTGGTTGTTGCAAAGGCTTGTTTGCATTTCAAATATGGAGCTGGTTGTTGCAAAGGCTTGTTTAATTAATCGAGTTTTGATTGCGTTGTGGTTTCGGCAGGTGTTTTTCACAGGTGGCCGTACGGC